CTGTCTGTCTGTCTGTCTCTCTCTCTCGCCCCCTGTCTGTCTGTCTGTCTCTCTCTCTCGCCCCCTGTCTGTCTGTCTGTCTCTCTCTCTCGCCCCCTGTCTGTCTGTCTGTCTCTCTCTCTCTCGCCCACTCTGCAATGCACACTTTCCTGCTGGTTCTGACCTACACTGAATGGGCTGTGTATGCACTTTGTTAAGAACTGCCAGGACCCAGGTTCAGTTTGTCACACACAGACTGTTAACTCTGGTCTCCATCACACTGCCACATCATTTCCTCATGGAAACGGTGGCACCTCTGATTTCCAAATCTCAGTCGGGAATCTCTCTGGAGCTCCCACATTTTCCTGATAGCCATCTGTGTGAGAGGCTGTCTGTATTGGAGACAGACACAGAGAGAGAGAGACAAACAAACAATGGGCGAGTCTTCTCTCAGTGCAGTATAAACCTTCAACCTGTCACTGAGAGCAGGTCAGTGTCTGGGCAGAGAGGGACAAAATTATATCCAGTTATACTCCAGATTCTTTCCCCTAGCTATTGTCAGTCTCCCCCTCACTGCTGTCTTTTGTCTTTTGTCCCCCACCCACCTGATGCTGTTATCTATCCCTGTTGTCTCTTTCCATGCTCTGTCTTTAGGTTGTGAGGCCCAGTCTCCTGCTGGTTGCCTTGTGAGGGAGAAAGAAACCATGAGATATAATCTTCTCACTATTGACCCATTGGTCATGGAGCCTTAGGAAACCTTCCAGTTCCCGTTTGGTTTGAAAACTGCAGGCACCGTTGTAAACAATCAAGTGTAGCTAGTGCAGACAGCTTCTACGGGGCACTCAGAAGACAAAATATCAAACAAGGCATCATGAATTTAAACCCAAATATCACTAGGGGGGAATGTTGATAACACAGCCAACTCCCTGCAGTGCCCACTGCTTAGAACAGAATCTCACAGCGTATCTCTTAGATTGACTTGAATTGAGGACGTGTGGTTGCCACGAGGGAAGGTTAATAATTGGTGTTCTGCAGAAATGAGATTCTGCAGGGCTGACTATTAATGTCAGTAATTGTTGGAAGTGAGCAGATATTTTCTATTCCCCGTTTACTCTCATGTTGGACAAACGTTCTGTTTGAGGGTTTAAAATAAATATAATCCAGCAGTTGGCAGCTGCTTACTCGTCAATTGATTTTTCTCTGCAGAGGGTTGACAGATCGATCCTCTCAGGACCTCAGTAATCAGGTTAGCTATTAATCTCATCGGACAGGGGTTGACGTATCATGTTTATCAAGAACAGAAAACCACATGTTGAAGAAACAAAATAAAACATGGAAAATAATGCCCATGACCTGTACCAAGACAGATGGCTGCTAAGGTGTCATGTCTAGTTCTGGCGGTCTGTGCTGGGGTGTCCTCTATCCGTCTACAAATGTGTACTTCTCAACTTTGTAAATTCTTCTGTGCAATAGGCTTGGGTAGTTCCTGCTTCAGTATTAACACTTGTTTGCACTTTATAACAGCCTCTTTCTAGATCATTAACCATAACAAAATGAGCTATGTCCAGTCATTCCCAAACTGTGTTGGCCTCCTGACCACCACGGAATTTGACCTGAGATGACCGGGGTAATCCCTGCCACAAGTTTCTGCAGTATACTGCCATTCCCTCTAGTCAGAGACCTGGACTGGTGATGGGAGTTGGGGGCTAGGGGATAGGAAACAGATTGGCAGCGGGTTTAAGCTGTAGTCCACACCCTGTTCTGATCCTGCCCAAACTCCTCATGGCACATTTCAGTCAGCGAAGAGGTAGTAGATTCTGTACATTATAATTTTGAGTTGATTTGACTAACCCTAGCTGATGCTAATCATTTTAATGTAGGATGTTCTGGTTTCCTGAATAAACACATCTCAATTACAGAATAGAGACAATTAGATTGTCTACCTTTGTGTGTGTGTGTGTATTTTTTTTTTAAAAAAATAGATGCTGACCAGCCAGTGAAGCTCACATCCCACAAATTAATTTAAAATTACAAGTATTAGGAATGAGGGAAGAACTCAAGTTAACACTTTAGGTCAGAACTGAAGAAGGGTCACCAGACCCAAAACATTAACTCTGATTTCTCTCCACAGATGCTGCCAGACTGACTGACATTTTCCAGCATCTGCAGTTCTTTGGGTTTGTTTTGCTTAGAACGAGGGTTGACTTTATGCTGAGGTGCCCCTGTGTTTATGTGAAATCTTGGTTTATCAATGATTCTCAGGCTATTTATTGTCAAAGGGGTCCTTCAGAAATGGATGAGGAAGCTATTTTCACCATTTCCTCACCTCAGTAAGGGAACCAGCCAGATCTGCACTGTCCCCACTCCTCAATTATTTCACACAACCTAGGCCCTTTCTCAAATCAGTTATCCTTAATCACACAGTCTTCAGTCAGCATACATTTTATTAATCAATAAAGTTGAGACAGTGAATATTACATTCTAAACATTTACACAAAAAAGTCAAAGCAAAACCAATCAGTTCTTGGTTTGTGCAATCCCTGAGACTGGGACATGGAATTGGGATTTTACACACAGACTCCCAAGAGTAGAATGGGGTCTATTTTAATCTGAGGGGAATATGTCAAATTGTTAAAAGACAAACTGCTACATGATTGAACACCAGAGGGTGGCATTCAATGTACCTCAGATCAATCAGCTGGTATACTAACTAGACAGCGGTCTCCCTGGCAACACGATCTCTGGACAGCTCTAGCCAGGAGGGAGTGTCCTCTCCTCCCACTGTCTCCAAACTCAGTAGCACAATCCTTACTCCAACCTGTCATTGGAAGCAAACCATAATTGCAGCTCATCCAGCCAGGTGTACTGGGGATTGGTGGGGTGGGGGTAGTTAAAGGCCTGACATAGCAGCTTTATGGGGGCTAATATCCCACTTTACAGGGTTAGGAATGAGGCAGCAGGGAAAGGATAACAATAGGAAACACAGAAGGCGAGAAAATAGGTTTACACTATTTCAAGGGACTTTTGAGATTCTGCTTTAAAGAAGTGCTGCAGATTTGAACATTGCTAGTTTCTCAGTTGACAAAAATTGGTTTATCACACCACAGTCTGCAATGATATCACATATCAAAATACCACAAATCTGCTCTGTGCATTCACAGCTGTCAAGAGCTAAAGGGTTTGCTGAGCAGCAACAGGGGAACACACTGTCCTTCCTGTCTTCACCGTGCCCCTATCAGCTCTGATCCAGCTGCCGGTACAGTTTAATGGTTATTAACTGAACCTCAGGATCTCCACTCCTGAGGTCCAGGGCTTCAAGCATACAGTTCAGAGCTGACTTCAGCTCCCCCCTCTCTATGTGCTCTCTGCCACGTTTTACCAGCATCGTGTATTGATCCAGCTCAGAATCCTTGCTCAGTGCACGTGTATCGAGTACAGATGGCTCAACCACCTTAGTGTAAGTCTCCACCTGTTCGTCGGAGCCAAGCTCTGGCTCAAAGGTCCCGGACTGCTCTTCCTCACTCCCAGTCATCATGCTGCAGGACGCGGAGACTCCTTCGTCACTGCTGGCTGCTCCTAGCTCTGGGCTCTGCCTCTCAGAGGATGCTTCCTCCATGGAGTGATTGCCCGGCTGATATTCACTGGGGTCTGCAGTCCGGTCAGTCTCTCCTTCCCCTTCAACGTCGCTGTGGCTGTTTGCTTGCTCTTCCTCCTCCTCCTCGTTGTCATCACCATCAGCAGCAGCCATATGGTCAGGAATTTCCTCGTCCAGGTCATCCACGTCATCAATAGCCAAGCCAATGGCAGACCGCCTGGAAGCTACTGAGCGATTGCTGCTCCTGTCCAGGAGAGTCGGAAGGGGAGAGTAAGACCCTTTCGGGGTTGAAGCAGCAGTCACACAGAAAGCCTGGAGTTCTGGGCTAGTTGAAGACAGAGCAGGAGGTCGCTCCAAGGCACTATGTGAATGGAGGTCACCATTGGTTTCCTCCTCACTGTCACTGATGATCACTTGGCCGTGAGGTTTCTTCCAGGGCTGGAGAATGCAGGAGTCGTCTCCGAGACTGGTTCCTCCCGGGGACGCCGGGTGCTCCCCTTGTTGCTCAGCGGACCGTGCTGCCTCCATATCTCCACCTGACTTGGGTTCAGTCACAGGCAAAGGTTCAGCTTCAGGTCCCTGCTCCTCACAATCCGGCTTCACCTCCTCGTCCTCCTCCATGGTCTCCTCCAAGATCAGGTTGAAATCAGATTTAGATTCAAACAAGGCCCTGGAGTCAGGGGAGTTAGCCACGGTAGTGGACAGCTCTGTCTTGGACGTGTCACCTTGACACTCAGTGGGAAATTGTTCCTCCTCGGCAGTATTGCTGTCAGCATGTGACAGAGAGCTGTCTAACATCACCACACTGTGACTTTGTTTGCTTGTCTCAATCGGCATGTCAGCTAACCTGCTGCTCAGGTTGAGCACCTCATTGGCCATCTCATTGTCGACTGGCTCCGTTAAATCCACTGTGACTGCTGGAGACCGAGGGGCGATGGTGTTTTCATTCAATGCTGGCAATGTGCTGATGGTGGAGACTGGCTTTGGTCTTGTACAGCCTTCTCGACTGCCTGTAAGAGTAAAAACAAAACCCCCAAGGGGGTAAATGGATTAAAAACAAACACATTTTAAAGCAAACCACTGTCACAGTTTCCTTTTCCCATAAGACATAGCAGCAGGAGGCTAATTGGCCCATCAACTCTGCTCAGTCATTCATGGAGATCACAGCTGGCCTGAACATCCTCAATCCACTTTCCTGCCTTTTCCCCAAAACCTGATTAAAAATCTCTCTCTCTCAGCCTCGAATGCACAGAGACAGCCCTCTGTGGTAAAGAATTCCACAGATTCACTCCCCACAGAGAAGAAATTGCTCCTCGTGTCTGTCTTCAGTGGGCGACCCCTTATTCTAAGATGATGCCCCTCTGGTCCTGGATTCTCCCACAAGAGGAAACAACATCTCCCCTGTCAACATCTCCCAGAATCTTGTATGTTTCAATAATATTGACAAAAAAAACATTCTTGCCAAAGTACATGACCTCACATTTTCCCACATCCAATTTCACCTACCGAGTTTTTTCCCCCACTTACTTAACTGGTCTCCTGTGTCATCCTCACCACTTGTCTTCCCACCTACTTTTGTATTCGCTGCAAATTTGGCGATAATATATAATATATTAAGTTTTCCCATCCATGTTGTGAATGTATATCGTATAATTGTGGTTCCAGCACTGATCCCTGTGACACCCCATTAGGTACAAGTTGCCATCCTGAAGATGCCTGCCTTATCAAAACTGACTATTAGTTCACAAAACCGCTACCCATGATAATAGGCTACCTCCATCTCCATGGGCTCTTATTAAATAACCCACGTGTGGTTCCTTTTCAAACACATTCTGAAAATCCCAATATATTTTCCCGTTGAAATGAGTGACTTGCTCAGCCATGTGAGAGGTAATGATGAGTTGCCCAGATCGCTGTGGGTCAGACTGGGGGAAAGACAGCAGATTTCAGGGAACCAAGCAGGACGATTGTCTGCGTGGAATTTGCACGTTCTCCCCGTGTCTGCGTGGGTTTCCTCCGGGTTCCTCCCACAGTCCAAAGATGTGCAGGTTAGGTGGATTGGCCATGCTAAGTTGCCCGTAGTGTTCAGGGAGGTGTAGATTAGGTGGGTTATAGGGGGATAGGATGCTCTGAGGTTCAGTGTGGACTTGTTGGGCCGAAGGGCCTGTTTCCACACTGTAGGGATTCTATGATTTTAAAACAACCAGTGATGGTTTCATGGTCACCAAAGAAACTACCTTTACATTAATTTATGCTGGTGGTTGCAATGTGAACCCATACCCCCAGAGTATTAACTGGGCCTCTGGAATCCAATGACACTACCACTTCAGCGTCTCCCCTTTCAGTAGATACTAACTTAGTTAATTGCCTTTATAAATCCAAGGTTAAGTTTTCAACCCAAGTGTATGTAGAAGAGATACACAGGCAAGGGACAGACCCAGTATGTTCCCACTGAATGATGAAACAGGCTATAGGGGCTGAATGGCCTCCTCCTATTCTATCATGATCACAACTGGAGCTGGAAGCACTGGGGTAGAGAGAGGTTACACCTCAGGCTCCTGTTCTAATCCATACAGACAGATATTTGCTGTCAGAGATGGAGGATGGGAGTGAAGGGCTTACACGACTTGGTCAGTCGCCCAGACAACAGCAGTGTAAACAACTGGCCATACTCTCACAGCTAAGGATGAGGGCAGTACCTGGAAGAGGATGAGTGTCTCGTGGTCTGTTCAGCCAGGCAGCTTCGGTATTGGCACGAATATTTTCAACCAGTTGCTGCTGGAGTTGGGACTCGGCTGCCACCAGTTCCTGGGCCTTCTGCACTCGCTGCTGGATGTAATTCCTGGACTCGGGATCGTTCTCCTCATCGGGAGCGGTGTCCTGGGAGAAGATGAGGTCGTGGTCTGTCACTCCGAACATCTCCAGGGTGTGTAGGAAAGTGAGGTGCTGGTCCAGGATGCTGTCTGTCCGTCTCTGACTGGCATGCATGGACTGTAACTGCCTCTGTGTGCTCGATGCCCGAGGGTCCTCCAGGATGAACAGCTCCCTCAGCTCCTGGCTGCTGAAGTAACGAAAGGGATTCTTTTTCTCCCCAACTGACTGGCGAACCAGTGAGTCTACCCAAATACAGAGACAAAGTCACAGAGTTAGTCATCCCATAGTGCCCAAAATACTCTTATTACCTAAATTAATATAAAATAAAGAATGAGAGAACATGGCTTAAAAATTAGAGGTCTCTTGTTTTAGACAGAGATGAGGAATTTCATAGGTCTGTCTTCCCCACAGAGAGCACTAGTGGCTCGCTTACTCAATATATTCCAGATTTTGATCAATGTGGGAATCAAAGATTAAGGGACAGACAGGAAAATGGAATTGAAACCACAATGAAATCAGACATTGATCTTATCAAACAGTACAGCAGGCTCAAAGGGGCAGAATAGCCTCATTTCGTTCTGAACAATTGTTTCAAAGTTAGCAATCCATAACCAGTGCAATCTCCAAGACCCAACAGTATGAAATGTTACTGCTTTTCATCTTAAATGCTTCAGTAAGGCATGTAACAACATTACAGCACCCCAGCACTCTTCATTTTTTCAGCAAACTATTGTGAATATCAGAAAAAACCTAAACCTCTGGAAATATCTCAAAGCTTTGGGAGAATCTGGAAACACAGTGAGAACAAACAGCGAATACGACAGGTCAGAATTTGCTGCAGAGCCAAAACCCTGGCTGTTTGACTCCCCCCAGTCCAGCTGTGCGATTATCTCCAGCTATTATTTGTCGTTTAGCTCCGGTCCACACAGACAGACCGAATGCAGGGAAGGAAAAGCAGAAGGCCATTCAGCCCTGAGAGCCTACTCCAATCAATAAATCATGGTTGATCCAGCTGTGTTCTCAAACCCACTTTACATCCCCATTACCTGTTGCTGATCATAAGTTACAGGATCAAGAGGTTGCCATTCAATGAGATCACAGCTGCTCTGGCCAACTTCAACTCTCCTTTCCTGCCTTTTCCCCATAACCCTTGATTCCCCTCCTGATTAAAAATCTGTTTCAGGCTCAAATATACTGAATGACCCAGCCTGGACAGCCCTCTGCGGTAAAGAATTCCACACATTCACTCCCCTCAGAGAGGAAATTCCTCCTCAGCTCTGTCTTCAATGAGCGATACCTTATTCTGACATTATGCTCCTCTGGTCCTAGACTCTCCCACAAGAGGAAGCACCCTCTCCACACCTCCCCTGTCAATCCCCTGTGAAGAAAAGTGACGAGGATTAATGAAGGCAAGATTAGATCATGTGGAATACAGGGAAAACTAGCTATTTGGATACAGAACTGGCTCGAAGGTAGGTGCTGGTGGAGGGTTGCTTTTTGGACTGAATGCCCATGACCAGCAGCGTGCCACAAGGATCGATGCTGGGTCCACCTCTTTTCGTCATTTATATAAATGATTTGGATATGACACAGGAGGAAGGGGTAGTAAGACAACAAAATCGAAGGTGTAGTAGACAGCGAAGGTGGCTACCTCAGAGTACGAGACCTTGTTCAGATGGGCCGAGGAGTGGCAGTTGGAGTTTATTTTGGTTAAACATGTGGTGCTACGTTTTGGTCGACAAATCACGGCAGCACTTGCACATTTAATGGTAAGGTCCTAGAGAATGTTACTGAACAAAGTGACCTTTGAGGGTAGGTTCATAGTTGCTTGAAAGTAGAGTCACAGATAGACAGGGTAGTGAAGGTGGTGTTTGGTATGCTTGCCTTTATAGGTCAGTGATTTGAGTATAGGAGTTGGGATTTGATGTTGCAGCTGTTGGAATACTGCGTTCAATTCTGCTATAGGAAAGATGTTGTTAAATTTAGAGTTCAGAGATTTACAAGAATGTTGCCAGGATTGGAGGGTTTTAACTATAGGGAGAGGCAGAATAGGCTGGGGCTATTTTCCCTGGAGTCTTGGAGGCTGAGGGGTGACTTTATAGAGGTTTATAAAATCATGAGGGACCTGGATAGGGTGAATAAACAAGGTTTTTTTTCCAGGGAAGGGGAGTCCAAAACTAGAGGGGCATAGGTTTAAGATGAGAGGGAAAAGATTTAAAAGGCACCTAAAGGCAACTTTTTCACACAGAGGGTGGTGTGTGTATGGAATGAGCTGCCAGGGGAAGTGGTGGAGGTGGGTACAATTACAACATTAAAAGGCATCTGGATGGGTATATGAATAGGAAAGGTTTAGAGGGATATGGGCCAAATGCTGGCAAATGGGACTAGATTAATTTAGGATACCTGGTTGGCATAGATGAGTTGGACCAAAGGGTCTGTTTCCATGACGTACATCTCGATGACTTTATGAGTAATGCCAAGAGCATGGGTTCAATTCCTGCACTGGCTGAAGTCATCATGAAGGACCCTCCTTCTAAACCTCTTCCTTCACCCGAGAGGTGGTGACCCTCAGGTTAAACCACCACCGGTCGACTCTCAGATGACAGAGAGAGCCTGATAACTCCATTTTAATTCAGACAGTTAGAGGATGTTATGAGATTTTGAGGGATTTAATTGCAGAGTTAGCTTCTATCGAAGGGGTTTACTACTACACCACAGCCTCTCAGGGAGAAGATCACCAGATCATTAGGAATAGGCCATTCAGCACCCCCCAAGCCTGTTCCGATGATCTCAGATCAGGGCTGATCTCTTGATCTTCGACTTCAACACCACCCTTCTCTCTATGCCCAAAGCTTTTTTGGGAATGGCAAAGGGAATGAAAACCTATCTTTGTGTCAAACATACTCGATACATGGAGGGGTCACAGCTGTTGGAGGGAGAGAATTCTAACCGTTCACAAAGTGCTGAATGAAGACCACCCCTTGGTCTGAGTTGTACCTTTGAAAATTTGCCGCCGGTATATCTTCTCCTCCACAGTTCCACAGGTCACCAGCCTGTAGATCACAACATTGTCAGTTTGACCGATTCTGTAAGCTCTGTCCACTGCCTGGGCATCTGTGGCAGGATTCCAGCTGGGGTCAAAGACCACCACACGGTTTGCTGCAGTGAGGGTGAGGCCAACACCGCCAACCTGGGTGGTGAGGAGGAAGACGCAGTGGTCCTCTCGCTGCTGGAACGCCTTGATCTTTTTCTGCCGGTCTGGCAGTGCCATGGTACCATCCAGCCTCATGCAGGGGAAGCTGCGGTTGGTGAGGATGCGCTGGATAATGTCCAACATCTTCCTCGACTGCGAGAAGACCAGAGTGCGTTTACCCTCTTCCCTCAGCTTCTCCAGCAGGCCCAGCAGAAAAACCAGCTTCCCCGACTCACTGATCAGATCCTCGTCGGGCACACAGCTAATGTCACTCAAGGCATTATTGTCCACGGCCTCCCCTTCACAGCCACCGAGGCCCAGCTCCTCACAGATACGGCGGGACAGCAGCCTCGGGTGGTCACACAGTTTCTTCAGGTTGGTCAGCTGCACCAGAGGCGAACGCCGGGTTTGCAGCAGCTCTTGGATGTGGTCCGATGAGACGAACTTCTGGTAGATCTCCTCCTGGATGCAGCTCAGGTAGACCCAGACAATCAGATCGTTCTTCCTGGTCAGAATTGGCATCTGGGCCTCGCAGTGAGAGCTGGGCAGTTTGCTCTGTGAAGACTCGCGTGTCAGCTGCACGTTCTCCTTGGTCCGCCGCAGGAAGTAGGGCTCAATGATCCTCATGAGATTCTCAGAGATGCGCAATCCAAGAGCCTTCTCAGCCGGAGTGGCATCCTTCTCCCTGGCCCTTGTGATGGGGTTCTCGTACTGCATCTTGAAGGTCTTGGCAGTGCCCAGCAGAGAGCCCTGGCAGGCGAAGTCAAAGAGGGACCACATCTCCTGCAAGTTGTTCTGCACTGGTGTTCCAGTCAGCAGGATACGGTGCTTGGCCGGGATGGCACTGACACACTTGAAGGTCTTGGTGGACTTGCTCTTGATCTTGTGGGCCTCATCGAGTACCAGGTAGTCCCAGGTGAACTCACCACCAACCAGACTGGAGAGCTGCTGCCAGTTGTTAATCACCATTTGGTAGGTGGTGATGACCACGCCTGCCCTCCGCTGCACTCGCTCCAGATTTCTGGTCCTCTCAGCTTTCGTACCGTGGAACTCTACAAAAAAAATGTCAGAGGAGATCACCCCAAGTCACCAACAGAGAGTTCAAATACCACTCCATGCATTAACCAAAAAAAAAAAATCACTCCACCATCATTCCGAGGGTTAGTGCTAAGGGAATGCCACACTGTCAGCAGCCCCTCCCCTACAAGTTCACAAAACCCCTCAGATCTGTACAGTTCACCACAATCACCACCCATTGATTCCCACGCTCACCCCATAGTCTGTTTCCCCACTCAGACCCCTACAGTCTGACTTCAGTAACCCTACTCCTGACACTGAAGGTAGAGCATCCCGTCCCCCTTCCTTGTAATCTGCACTGTTCCCCAGCCCCCTCTCTATCCCTTAGACCCCGCCCTGACCTGACCTCCAACAAGACTTTAGTCCCCTTGATCCCAGCTCCACTCATCCTCTTGGCTTTGCCCCTGCCCCTCCGCTGGCTGCACCCAGACCCCATCATTCTAATCCCACCTACACACCGCACCCAAGACTCAACCCACTCCCCATTCTGACACACCCACTCACCCTATGCCCCACGCACACCACAGTGCCCTACCCAATACTGTCTGGCCCCGCCCACTCATCCTCACGCCACGCCCCCTTACCCCACGCCCTGACACCAGACTCCACCCACTCCCACCCTAGACACCACCTGCCCACCCGACGTCCTGCCACTGACTCCGCCCGCCCACCCCCCCCCCCAAAATCCAACCCTGGACTCCACCCACCACCCCGCTATCACC